GCAAACAAAGTGCACCACCCCGTCCAATTGACATTTTGTAGGTACCACTTACAATGCATCCCAACACACGGCGTACCACAAGAACTCGTGAATGAGAAGCTTTGAGAACACACCAGAAACATCAGCGTTAGAAGCATTACAATGTAGCCGCTATACTTTTTATATAGGTTATAGATTACATGTTCAAATTGATAGATTTTACATGGATCAAAATCACAATCAACACCAATTAATACTTAGCTAGCACAAACTTACCTAATCATAGTAATGGATGTTCAAGCATCAAAATTATATACAAATTTAGAGAGGTAGAGAAAGAGGGAAACTTTGCCCCTAGGAGATAGACGACTTTGACCAACCCTAGCCTTAAAAAAATCACTTGTTAGGGTTTCAAAAATTAGGAGAGAGAAAGGGGCAAAGTGAGAGCAACAAACGAGTGAGAGAGAGAGAGAGAGAGAGAACTTAATAGATAGTCGTAGTCACCGGTGGTAGTCATGGTTGCTGGTGCTGTCGCGGAGCACACTGCTGGTGGTGAAGGTGCTTGTGTACGTGCGAAAAGGCAAGCGAGAGAGTATTTGTGTGTGTGTGTGTGTGTGTGTGTGTGTGTGTGTGTGTGTGTGTGTGTGTGTGTGTGTGTGTGTGTGTGTGTGTGTGTGTGTGTGTGTGTGTGTGTGTGTGTGTGTGTGTGTGTGTGTGTGTGTGTGTGTGTGTGTGTGTGTGTGTGTGTGTGTGTGTGTGTGTGTGTGTGTGTGTGTGTGTGTGTGTGTGTGTGAGAGAGAGAGAGAGAGGGGGGGATTCCAGAGACCAGAGAGATGGTGGTTTCAGAGATGGCAGACTAAGAAAACTGAATTAGAGCTAATGAATCAGAAAGAGAGGCAAAGAGTGTAACACCCTGTCCCACATCGGAAGTTTGCATGGGTGATCTTGGGCATATAAAGCACCACTACCTTGCTACTAAATAACTTGGACTTAAGCTTTTGGGTATTGTTGGTCGACCCACAAGTTATTTGGGCCAGCAAGTAGTGGGGCGTTACAAAGAGAATTGAAAATGAAGAGTCATGTTGTATTTGGAAATTCTGTCTTGTTTGGAAAAGGGAAGAATCGTGCCTCTCTATTCATGGGTGAGGCTAGAATTGGTGCGAAGATTGAAAATTTTATTTTATATAAAATCACTCGTTAATTAAAAGATGTGATTAAAAAAAAAAAGATATAATGACACTTAATTGAAAACTGACATAAAAAATAAATATAATCACATGTTAATTAGAAGGTGTGATTAAAAAAAAGAAAAATTACTCATAAATCCCATTTTAATAAATGTTGCTCTACTTAGTCCTAAGTGTTTTTTCTTAAACCATTTAGTCCTTTTTATTTTTGGTATGATATATGTTTTTGATATATTGTATATAGAGTTTACATTTTTACCCACCATTGAACAACATCATCAACATCAACATCAACATCAACATCCGAATCAATCTCTCTCATCTCGATTTTGAAACCCTAGTTTTCTCTCTCTAGACTCTCTAATGGCACCCAAAGCAGCAGCAGAGAAGAAGAACAAATTGAATCAACGTAGCGTTGAGGCTATTGAGGTTGGAGAAATGGCAAAGAAGGAGAAGCCGGCGATCGGAATCCCGTACACAGGCAATTACCAGGCTCTGATGGCTCCACAATTTCATCAACAATACTACGTGGGTCATAACCCCCATCAAGGCGGAGCCATCCCTCCCAACGCCTTCGTGGGCGATCCCAAGGGCATTTTCGAACATTAGATTCATGATCAGCATCGCTGACCTCTCTGCTGGGAAGAAGCTGCCATGATTGACATCATCGCCATCATCAACATCAGCGCCACCACTGACCTCTCTGCCTTCGTGGTTCACAATTGTCTGCAACATCAACGCCATGATCAACATCGCAACATCATGCTGGGCAGAAACAATGTTTGTGGGTGTTCAGTGGTTCGAACATCAGATTTATGCTATTTGTGGGTGTTTGTGGGTGTTCTTGATGTTTGTGGGTGTTTAGTGGTTCGAACATCAGATTCATGTTGGGCAATTAAAATGGGAAAAGGAGGGAACATCAGATTCGTGAAATCAAAATGGGAAAAGGTGTTTAGTGGTTCTTGATGTTTATGGGTGTTTAGTGGATGTTTGATGTTCTGATGATGTTTGATGTTTGATGTTCTGATGATGTTTGATGTTCGATGTTCTGATGATGTTCGATGTTGATGATTGTTCGATGTTCTGATGATATGTTTTGATGATGTTGTTTTGATTCCTATTTTTGATGATTTTTTTTTTAGTGATGTTCGTGTTTTTTTTATTCCTATTTTTGATGATGTTTTTTTTAGTAATGTTGGTGATGTAGTAAGCTTCTTGGGCATTTTGGTAAATTACAAATAAACACTAGCCCAAAATTACGCCTTAATTACTGATCCAAACGCCTAAAAAAATGGGTATTAATGTCTTTACACATAAAATAGGACCTATTAGTCCAACAAAAAAACGTCGGGACTAAATGGGTTAACATTCCCAAATTAAAGATTTAATGGTGCTTTCCCCTTAAAAAAAAAATATATATATATATATATAATCACAATTGAAAAGTGATATAAAAAATAAATATTATCACACTCAATCAAATCAAGTGTGATTAAAATATTAATCAAATTTTTTTTATCACACTTCCAATAAAAGTGTGATATTTTCATTTGTCAAAGTGTGATCTTTAACTGTTTTTGTAGTAATGTGTGTTGTCCAATTTGGAATAATATGTTTGTGAACTCACTTTTTGTTGAGTTGCACATTATTCAAAGTCTTTCAAAATATATGAAATCAAGTTGTTTCAAAATGAATGATACCGTCTATACTTGTTTGTTTTCACATAGTAAGTTTTAGGATTATTAATAATCGAAATATGAACATATAAAATCAATAAAACTCATATCATGGTTTAGTAGAGGCTTATCTTTTGATCGGATGAACATGGGTGCTCAATTAAAGACCTTCCCATCTCGTACCTAAGGTTCTGAACCAAAACATCTTTGGTTACAAAGAACTGTGGCCTTGGCACGAGTCATAGGTTTCTTAATTTTTTCAAAATATTAGGTAGCGACTCTGAGATTTGGTGACGCAGTCCATTTCTGGCAAAGATTTTGCAATAAAATAGATTTTCTATAAAAGTTGTCAGATTTGGACTCTCATCTATGTTTTCACATCACACTTGTGAGATTAGATCAAAGAGATCGAGGGTCCGAACTGTTTAATGCACACGAGTACCCCCCAAGTGATGTGACATATAGCTATTCAATCCCATTAGCTAACAACCACAACTTTGATTATTGCATAGTGCTAGAACTTGGTTCATAGAAGTCCAGAAAACATAGTAATAAATAAAAGTAAAACAAGTAAGCCAAGCAAGGTAGCAAAGCATTTTCCTATTCAACCATTATGTCAAACACATAGTGATCAACAAATTGCAATAGCACAACAGCAATAGATGAAAGAGATACAAAAAATAAATAAATAAATAAAGGAATGACGAGGCAAGACAATATGCTATGCAATGTATTGGCCCGGGTCAAAAAATTTGACCCATTTTATTTTCTCGATTAGGACACAGGTTGTCCCAATGGTTCTGTTTGTGTTTAGGTGGTTTGGGTCCATTGTGTGCTTCGGGTTGGCTGTGGAGTAACGACCCTGGTGTTCTGTTCCAGGTCAGTTGAGCCCGCGATCACCTTGCTCGCACTCGCGATTTGTTAAGGGTGCCTGTGAGTGGGCCGCAACCAAGCCGCAACCAAAACATAGCTTTAGGGTCTATTGGCTAAGAGGAGGGTACGTGGCCTGTGGTGGTGGCTCGCGACTCTCTTGGTTGCACTTGCGAATGTGTTGGTCATGCTTACGGCCATCTTTTCTTCTGTTCGTGCCCACAATCTCTATGTTCGCACCCGTAGTCTATTTGTGTATAAAAGACACGAAAAGATAAAAATGTCTCATTTTTGAGTTTCCCTTCTCTTTCTTCTCATCCTTTCCGCCATTTTTGTTTGTTTCAAGCTTTCAAGCTTGGTTTTTATCTACTTCTACTCATCTTCTACTCCTAATTCCATATAACAAAATGTAGAGCTTGGCAAGGATTTCCATATAATCTGACAGGATCGTTGTTTCATCGCCAATGATTTTTGGATTGCCTCCTCTTTGCTTCAAGAGGTAAGGATTTCTTTACTCCTCTTCAATACCTCGTCTATAAATAAACGTGGTAAATTTTATTGCATTAAAACTATATTTGTTATGAATTTTAGAAATCATGTAAGGGGTTTAGGGTTTGATTTGAGCTTTGGAAGTTGGGGTTTTGATTAATTAGGTAGTAGTTGTATATCTACACAACTGCTATATACCCCTCTCACCCTCTACAAACCCAACTAGAAGAATTATGTAATCGTGTCTCAATAATTAAGTTAGCCACATGCTACTAATGTATGGCACACCATTTAAATATACAATTTTCATTCATTCTCATAACAAAATCAAGCTTTACACAGTTTGAATAAAAAATAATAATAATTATATGTGGATCTCTACATAATTAATTATACATCACAATATATAAATAATAAATACAAATTCTAAGTCTCTGCAATCTTCTTTTAATTTCATCCTCACAACTTCACAAGGATACTCAAGAAGAGAGATTTCATCAAAGAGCCCCCTAACATGGTCCAAAAAACAATTTCAAAAAGCCAAAAATCATTACAAAAAAAATTCTTGAAACTCTATTTTTTGCAATTTTTTTTATTATTTTTAAAAGTTAAAAAATTATCCCAAACACTACTTTTTCACCTCATAATTTAACCAAAAAATCTCGTCCCAAACCAACCCTTAAAGAATTACTTGCATACACATGCTGGGGTTAGAACAAAACTTCATATGAATACCAACAAAGGATAAATCTCAAGTCCTACTACGCACAACATTGTATTTTTAGCCAACAAACCTCAGGATACTTCAACAAAAAATATATACACATAATCAAGCTACAATTCAACCCTAAAATGGAGTTCTGAAAACTAGAGAATCCTTGACAAAAATCTCAGTATCAAACAAAAGTCAGCAGTTGGGCAAACTAGTTGAATTCTGTCTTCTTTTCCTGATCTGGTACAAAGTCAGCAGTTGGTTTTCATCTTCTTTACTGTACCAATTTTACCTTTCTTTCCTGCATTGGTACAAATAAGAAAGAATCGTTCTGAAATAATGGTCATTCAACACCAAGAGAATTGTCAAAATATGGACCCCAACTATTAGAGAGAGAGAGAGAGAGAGTAGTAGAGTAATAAATTGAGAGCGACTTGCTGGCATTTTGAACAGTTTTTAATAGTTCAGTAAATAAAAATAAAGTGAAAAATGCAAATGCAGCATGCGCTAACACAAAGTGAACATTACAATTTAAACACAATTGCTAAACAGAAACTGATGTGGGATGGCTCTGGGAAACCTAGCCCAAGTGTCACGTCCTGCCGAATTACCTGAACAGAATTGCCTACCAAAAGAAAGTCTCATGGAAGGGAGGCTAATGGAATACTCTAGAAGCTCCTGAAAGAACTTGAGAAAATATGAAAACCATGGAGGATGCTAGAAACTTCTAGAACTCCCTAGAAGAATAGCTACAAAAGAGAGGCTAAAATAGACTAAACTATAATTCTCTAGAACACTCAAGAGAATGGTAGATCTTGTACATAATTCTAGAAGTATGTACATAATTCTTGTATATTCTAGAATACGTTCTTTGAGAGGATGAGGGAAGGATCTAGAATCCTCTCCATCCTTGTAGATCTAGAACAGTCTATGAGAAAGAGTAAGAGGAAGTGTTTAGAACACTCTCTGCCCTTATGGTTCTAGAACATTCTTTGTAGCCTATAAAAGGGGGAGGGCCTCATTTGCCCAGACCACCCAAGTAATCAAGAGTTGTAAGCTTTCCCAAAGTATATACAACGCATTCTCTCAAACTCTCTCTGTGTGTTCTTCTAACTTCTCTTTCCTACAAGTTTGTGAGTTAGTCTGACTTAGCATCTTCAAGTAGGACTTGAGATTGTCTAAGTGCCGCACGTATAGCTTAGAAACAACCAAGTCCGTGACACGAGGCAACCTCCAGTAGTTTTGGCGGGTTTGGGCAATTGAATACTAATGACAAAATCTATCCAATGCCATGCTAATTTAAAATAAACATAAACAAATGCTCAAAATTAGTCCAAAACTTCTTTCCATAGGACAGCTCTAGGAAACCTAGCCCAAGGCTGCCTCCAGTAGTTATGGTGGGTTTGGGCTATTAAATACCAATGACAAAATCTATCCAAGCCATGCTAATTTAAAATAAACAAATGCTCAAAATTAGTCCAAAACTTCTTTCCATGATACCCTAAATGTAGTACTTCATGTGAAATTTCATATTTCTCCCATTTTTTCTTTCCATCATGCTTTTAACGCCACCGTTTGAAGTGGTGAGGTAAAACATAATGAATTGTCTATCAAGCATGTATACAAGATATGGGTACAATATGATACGTATGCGCTAATACGAAAAAACCTAAAAAATAGGATATAGGTACAACCACGATAAGTTCCTGAAAAATAATATTCTTATAATTTTTAGTATTATATTATATTTAAGCTCAATTTAGAAATTTTGAATTGAATATTAGTTGAAGAGCCAATGGGCACCAATTACTTTTTTTTCCAGTAAATCCTATGAAAATTCCATTTTGATATCAAGTCTAGAATGTTTTTATCGCCCTTGTACTTTTCCCTTTCATACTTAAATGAGTTATATGCAAAAATGTTGTATGCAACTTAACTTACTTTTAACTATCGAAATCAAAATAGTATATCATTATATTTTGTTATTTATTCTGACTTTATGAGAAGTTATAGATATGGATATAGGATGCATACATGACACATAAGGGTAAGGAAATTTCGTAAATTTTGTAAAGTATTGTACATTATCTCTCTTTCAAAATAGTTTGGATACATGATTTAGAGTATGCCAAAAGCATCGATACTTCTCAAAATTAAAGAAAATTAATATCAAATATTGGATACGAATCTATAGTATCCGATACGAATACAATACTGATATGACTCCTTTTTAGAAGCATCTCTGCTTCATAGTGAATAAGTTGCAACTTGAGAAATCAACTAGAAAGGAAGGAACCCAAGGCAATTAGCAAAGAAAAAAGTCATACAGCAAACATATGCCATGACATAATATGCGAGGCATGGTTTAATATAAATCAGGTCATGTGTACTTTAGTAATGTGATGGAGGCAAGTGGAAACAACCTATTCACGTGTACAAGAGGCACAAAAGAAATGCTTTTAAGGCTTGAACTTTGATCTTGCATGTATTAGAAAATGAGCAACCCACTTAAGACCTTAGATAGCTATCTTTTAGCCTCTCTTTTTATGTTATGTAGTTTGCTTGGAATTTTTTAAGTTTAGAGGTATTTTCCTAATTTCAAAATTTTCTGGACATAGGCTACATGTGTTACCCATGGGTTGTTTTGTGAATAAAGCTATTAAATTGGTTATTTGTTTATGGTTTTCTTTGTTCTTAGATCCTCTTTTGAAATCCTAGTCATCATTAGTGAAGAAAGTCTCTAAACTCTAGAAAATCATGGATTTTTAGAGCTTTGAAACTTTCTTTTAAGGATTGTGTGAATGCAATCAAACCCTAAGCATGATGCCTAAGGTCTCTAGGAGTGATTCCTAAATCTATCTCTTTCTTGTTCCTTTCTAATAGTTTCTGCACATTAACAACACCATAACAGTGTTCATGGTAACTGTTCACCACCCCTAGAACAGTCCAAAATGCATTCCTTTTCCTTATTTAATTGAGTCCTTCCTTCCATAGATATTTGTAGGTAATATCACGCTCGATATCTATTGAGCCATTCGGGCCCACGTTATCGGAACCATACTTACGTGGCAAACCAACAAGGCACCACAACATCCTTATATGATTAATTGGGGTTGTACGCCTAGCCTAAGCGGCGGTATACACACCATAATAATGACTTACAACATGAAGAGTCGAACAACTGAGCCTGAATCAATAGGGAGTACCATGGCTCACTCCAACTCCATCAATCTTCATACCCGTTTGATAGCATCATAGTCAAGCCATTGGCCCTGCTTATGTTCATCAAGCGCATTACCAACGTAGGCAGGGTCCCGCCCAGCTTATGTCATTGGACTGCGGAAACTAAGCCTCTGAGTTACTCAGCATTCATATGAGCCCATGGCTCACTCAAACACTTGGTTGCCTAGGTAGGGAGCAGGATCTAGGCACCCCCACTTGGGATCATTGGAGGCTCGTGGACTGGAGACTAGGGTCAAGGATTTGTCAAGGATTGCCTGGTTGTCTTCCAGCCAAGACAACCCCTCCTTGACCAGGCCTAGAGAGAGGTGAAAGAAACCTTGGACTCACGCATGCCTCTACTAGGGCTGTACAAATAATGGGTTCATCTGAAAAACCCAACTCACACGACCAAACCAAGCTTGCTGCGAACAATTTCAAAATTTCAACAGTCGGAAGCGGGCCTTATTCTGTAAATCTGTTCATTTTTCGGTGACGGGTGTGCCAAAGGAAATTCGTGGAAATCGACCAAACCGATGTATATATCTGATGCTAAGTATGCCACATCACAGTTCCACCGATTATATAATTATATTCATCTTTTCCAAGACATCCTTATCACCTCACCTCTTTCTACTCAAACTTTAAATCTCACGCTTGTCTCTCTCCCTTTCAGTCTCTCTCATCTCATTGTCTGACCTTTCACCTTCTCATCTACCTCTCACAGTTCTCTCTCATGCTCTCACTCTCTGGTCTCCTTTCCCATAAACCCTTTTGCCCTTTTAATCTCCCACTCTTGGTGGAAATTGTGTGAAATTTGTAGTCGACGGTGACAATGGTGCTATTCAACATTGACGGTAATGATGATAATAATGCTTAGATTTGCTCAGATTTGTGATGAAGGTGACGATAATGCTCAAATCTATGTTTAGATACATTTTTAGTTTATTTTTTTCACTCAAATCTATATATTGTTCTCTCTTTTTTTTTCTTTTTTTTTTTTTTAATAATCTCAACTCTTCTCTTAAATTTATGTGAAGATTTATAGGAATATGTATGGATCTATCTGTGTTTTTGTCTATTTTTCTCTCAAATCTAAACATCTTTATAGTTTTCTTTGTTTTATTTTTTTTTTCTCAAACTCTTCTCCCAAATCCATCTGACTTTGGGTTTGAAGAGAGAGAGCAAAGTTCATTTTTGTCCTAATGGCTCTGACCAAAATCCGACCGGCCATGTCGGTTTCAAATAGTATGGTTTCGACTACTAGTACGGTCAAAATCGATTGATGAAATTTTCTACCCAACAAAATCGGTTCGAGTGACGGGCTAGTACCAAACCCAGTCCGACTCGACCCGTGTACAACCCTAGCCTCTGCATACATGATACGTTGTCATCACACTTATCAGAAAGCCATAGGGGTCTTCCTGTTTGTAGACGTCCCCCGAACGCCCCGGGAGGGTGAAGTCCCATTCTGTTCATTTGGGGTTACTACACCTCAGGACTCTTGAATTTGTCATGGTTCTAAGTCTGAACCAAAGAGTCCAAATCTGGCAAATCGTTTTGAGAAACAGATTTTTGAAAAAGTAGTGCCAAACATGGACTGCTTTGCCAGATACAGAGTCGCCACCTAAATATTTTTTTATGGGAGAACACCAACCCTAACATGAACACAATTATCAACACATTACTTAATCCTAGAATCACCACACACAAATGTTCAAGGTCTCTCACTGCCAACCTCTTCATCTCTAAGCCTGCATTGGCCTTTCTCCTCCTCACCTCCGGTGATATTAAGTCATTAAAGTGCCCACCATCTTCCCAGAATTCACCAACCGACCACCTCTAACATCCTTACCCACAATATTAAAAAATCCTAAATTTTCCACTGAAATTCAACTTTAACCCTTAACATAGCCCTACAAACTCCAGCTTTAAATTGTTGTCCTACTGCATCAAATGCTGGTGATAATATTACTCTTCCTAGTGAGGAGCATAGTTGTTAAATCCAAAACCATATCGTGAATCAAAATTCTAAATTTTCAAATCGTGAAGTGAATCAAATCCAGAATCTTTACGATTCAA